AAAACAGGATTTTTAAAGTGACACTTCAGAAAATTTTTGAATACAAACAAATGTTGCTATGTTTATTTGAATTAAAAAAAAACATGAGCGCCATCTATCGATAATTTATTAAGTCATTTAAAAATAATATTAAATCGTAATAAAGAATGTGAAATAATGTCAATCTATTCCAACTTTTGTGTAAAACATATATAAATTAAACAGTTCAACAAATATATTTGTTTCAAATATCAGAAATATGTTTTTTTAATTTTTAGTTATAGAACCGTAATTTACAGGAAACTGTAAATTTAATTTCTTCGACGACACTAAAAGAAAAGTTTATTTTTAGTTTTATTCTAAAACAATAAGAAATAGACCTGTCAAACCCTATATTTTTGTAATCAGAAAAAAATAACGAATTTATTAAGCGAATAATCAGTGGTTGTTTCCATTTAAAAAAACGAAAATTGTGGTAATATCTCAAAATCTAAAACCGACAAAATTTTTTTGACTACGTCATCAAATTCTCTGTAAAAAAGTGTCCATATAATGTCTTAGTTATAATACTCCACCTATAATAATAACCAAGATAATTACATTTGCGGGTTTTACGATATTTTCAATTTTGGCCTCTAGCGGAAAAACAAAAGACGATAGCCCTATGAGGTTTTCGGCATTAGCAGTTTCTCGAAAAACGAGATCATGACATGTCAGCTACTTTTCTTCTAACTCTTATAGTTTTCGAGTTAGCCTATTCGGACATCGAATTTGAACCACCCTGTACACGTTGGTCTTTATGGCCTCCATAGAGTTTGTGTTACAAAAATACCAAGATAGGTTGTATCATTTTTGGTTTGGACATACACAATCACAAATAAATGTTATGAGGTCCTCTTCTGAGGGATATACACACCCAAGAGAATATGAAAGTTTTAACGTAAAGGAAAACGTTACCCAACACCTGATCATAGGCAATGATGGGGTTATGCTGGATCTTAAGGGATCAATCATCACTAGCATCATGGTGAGGTGATACAACGTGTCTCGTTTATTATTCTTCTTCTTATTCACATTGGGAACAGCAATTTTACTTACAACTCAAGGAAAACCAGTTTTCCTTGAATTATAGGAAAATTTGAATTGAACAGCATTTCTGATCAAATGAATTTAAAATGCATCGCATTTCTCATCATTTATTGATACAAATACAGAGAAACATTTTCGTTACTCCCTTTCGTTAATTCTCAATAACTACATATCAAGTAATATACTTGATTGGTACAACGTTGTTTGGTTCAAGTGTATTATTGGTATTTGCACTGAACTACGGTGTAATTGGATCAATTATATAATCGTAATTATCGAATATTTTGCATTGCTGGCCGGTATTGATTTCTAATATCTGGATTGTTAATATTTGTTTATAAAATAGCAGTGGAGATCGCTAAGATAACTGGATTAACCGAAATAATGTGTTTGTTAATTTCATTTAATTAATTTATGAAACTTTAATTAATCTCCTCAAGAAAATATTTATTTGTATTGTGAAAGCAGCTTGATAATATTTTCAATAAATTGTTTTGTGAAATATTACATGTAGCAGGGTGAGCAAATATACAAATAATACATCTCGCGAGTTAACTTAAAAAAAAATTAAAACATTTTCGTTTATTTCTATTTTTTTATCCTCATACTATTTTGCTCGCCCAGAATATATATTATTTTTCTGCTTTTGTACAGTCTATTTTTATTTACGTTGTTCATATTTATTTTAATATTTATTTTGGTTCTATTTTTTTTTAAATATATTTGCTTTTTACACATTTGTCTATTTTGATTTCTTGTTTCATTCAACCTTTTATAACTAAACCCTTAACTCCACAACAAATGAGTCTCCTGGTAAAATTGCGTGACATTTTTTTCAATATATTATAATAAATTGAGTTTGGTAGTTGCATTCAAATATCTATAAACGGGTTGAATAATTGGTATTTCGTTTTTTTATTTCGATTAAGCGGTTATAATATATTAGAAACTCCTAAAATACATATACTGGAAGACAAAAGTTTCTATATGTATTAATTTATGTTAAGTATTCGTGTCCAAGTTGATTGGAAAACTTTTCGGTGTGTTTAGAATAAAGAAATGTAGCGCCTCGGCCGCGGGCGACCTCGGCTGTCGTATATAACCCGATGAAAGTAAAACATTACGTTATTGTTATAGACATAGTTATTGTGCTTTAAGGCAGTAAAGATATATTTTTACAGAATGTAATGCTTCGACTTGAGGTTGTAGCGTCTCGGTCTCACGCGTCCTCGGCTCTAATCTCTAACACGGCATATTAAACATCGCTCCATTCTTTAATATTTATCATAGACCTTTAAATAACAAATGTAGAATTCTTATTATTAATAAAATTGATATAGGATGTCATAGTTAAAACCCCAATCATCCAAACAGGTACAAATAAATCAGTAGCGTAGCAAATTCAGTAAATTTTATGAAATATCTCGTTCCTTCACTACGTTTCAATGGAAATCCATGGAGAGACATCAACGTCAACCGTTACAAGTTGCTGTCAGTGAAAGCGCTCGCAAAAACCATCAAACTAATTTCAAATTGAATAATTCCATTAAAAAATATAAATGTAAAATGAAATTAATAAATTCTGCAAAATCCGCACAGGGCGAATTTACCGTTTTTTTATAATGTCCCATTCGATTGCGAAAATATATTTTTCAATTAATTTCAAAACTCGTTTGGTTTGATATGAAGTTAATTGATAATATCTAAAACGTTCTCGTTGCATGAGCTAAATAAAAACATGTATTTACAAAGCGAATTTTATAGTCATATTTTATAAAATTAATCATCCAAGTTTATTTTATAAAATTAATATTTTTAAATTAACTATTCCTCATTTTTACACGAAATTCTCTTGAGGACGCTGTTGCTTGATTAAACTTCAAACCTTCATGCAAGTTTCGTTTGAGTGAAACTCCGTCTGAATACCTAATTGCATTCGGTGGAAATCGTATGTTAAGGTCTTCATTTTGTATTTGAATAATCCATGAAATTGATAATCTAAATATTGTTGTTGACGTGACTAAGATAAATAGCGAAAAAAACTTTTTCGAAAAGCCACATTTCTTTAATTCAGTTAGTTCTCGGACATCTATTTTCCGGTTGCGTCCCAAAGGAATAAAACAAACTGGATCCTTTCGATCGCGTGGTAAGTGAACTCGAGAGAGTTTTCGACGTGGACACAATAAAAAAAAGCTCAACCACAAGAGAAAGCAAACACACAAGAATCGTAAGTTATCAATAAAAAGGCTCAAAGACAATGTATCTAAGTCGGTCTCATCGATTTGAGACGAGACCTCTTTCAACATCTGCTCTTCATTCTAGTCCACTTTGAATCAATCGATACTGGCGAGGCACTGTGGTGTTTCACGGGACGTTGATTCTAACGAACCCATTGACACTCTGTAAATATTTCTCCCCCAACACTAATTAACGCTGTTTGCTGCCAGAACCTTGGGATTCGATTCGTTTTCTCTGGTTGTACGGGAATTTTAATTGCTCAAAGTCGGGATTTTAAATTGTTTTTAAGTAAATGAAGTTAAAGTTTAAACAGAAAGAAAAAATATGGGTGTTTAACAAAAGCTTTCTGTTTGATATATTTAAAGATAGTGGGTGAAATAAATAATTAATACTTCATATTTTATTCAATTTCACTTGCTTTTGTGGCTAACATTTATTAGAAACTGGGAAAATTACAAAAGCGGAATGGAACTTTAATGACCAACTCATATCACTTATTTCACCGCAACAATGCACCCAACTCCCATTGAAGCAATTGCGACGGTCAAAGTTCAAGAACTATCCGCTTCGTATTCGCATTGTCTCCACATTCCGTTCTTGTATCCACCTAATAGAGGGGTGCGGTAAATCGCCATACATCTCCCCTTTAACAGAAACTTTCTTAAGAGAAGAGTTTTATTTCGCCTCCAGCGATCCGATTCACTACTAACGATTTACTACAATTTCAAACTCTAGACGTAAAAAGAGAAATAGATTTAAACTTATTTGCTCGTATTAACAATATTATTAAATAGAAAACACATTGAAATTCTTTTGTATAAAAGTAGAAACTAAAAGAAAGGATCCATTGGTCTATATCTCGAAAAGATACACTCCACAGCCAATACAAACGGAAGGAAATTGTCAAAGCGAGAGGTACCTAAAGTGAAGTCCACAAAGACAACTCCTCACCCGGGACTATAACTTATGCATGCGAGGTATAGTCGATTCCCTAAGTACATGCACAGTATCGTTCAAACGACGAAGGGACTTTGTAAAACTTTAAACTTGAACTTGATTGTTCGAGGTACAAGAGGAAGAAGCCAAAGGAAGGACGACGAATGCCCATTTCTCCAGATTTTGCACTTAATTATCGGCAGCAGTTCAAAAGTTGCCGACGGCGAAAAGAAGACTGAATTTGTAAATTTAGAGTTCTAGAGCTTTTGTTCGCTTTTAATGAAATCCTTTATTCCGATGGAGATCTCTTCAACAAACTCTTTGGGGATTAAGGTTATTAAGGAAATCCGATTGGGTCCAGTGTACAATACTTTTTTCATTGTTCATTCTTTTTTATGAAATAAGAAAAAAAGAATCTAACATTCAATTTAAAATAATTTATTTTACTGATTTTAGAACTTCTCGTCAAAATTAAGCAATATAACTAATTGAAATTTTCAACACAAAGCTCATAAATTCTAGATTGAAGAAATATTTAAAATAATAACACTATCTATCTTTCTCTAAAGTTTCTGAACCAATTCAGTTTAATTATGAAAACCCATTTGCTTAATGAATCTGCACCAAACTATAATTATGCGTTTTAATTTGATAATGCACGGAAACCGTCGTCAACAAAAGGGAAATCGACAATAAAGTTTCATCTATAAATACATGAGGCGTCCATAGAAATCCCTTCAAAAGTGTGTGTACCAACAACGATGGTTGACTATAAGCCGTTCCCCGTCAAAGAAATACATGGTGATTTCTTGATGGACGTCGTCGACATCCTATTCAAACACATCGTCTTCACGAATAAAACTGACAAGGTCGTTTTGTGGAAAAGCCCGGACAACTTGCAAAATTTATTCGACCTCGAGGTGCAACAAAACGGCGACGGCCACGAGAAGTTGTTGTCCTTAATAAAGAGCACCATAAAGTACAGCGTCCGGACCGGACACCCTTATTTTATTAACCAACTGTTTTCCGGGTATGTGTGCTTGCTATTCGTTTAACTTATCGACTTAACTTTTATGAGCACAGAGACTGTAAAGCTCGACGAAATGGGTTTTTAAGCCAATTTACATTTGAATTAACTTGCGGTTAAGTTAAATAATAAAAAACGTACGTAAAGTCGTTGAGGTAAACCTATTGATCGTTTTATTTTTAAAATAATTCAAATTGATTATAAAGAGTACAAAGAGGACAAAACATGTCCAATATGTAATCGATTTTAATACGGTTTATGCTTAAATAGGCCACTGAATGGGGTGCATGGTTAGTTCAATGGACTAATGGTTATAAATTACATTTACGATTATATGGTATTCAAGCTTTAATTTGTTATAAAATTTCTTTTAATTTATATAAAAAGATTATAAAATATTTTAGTTATAAAAATCGATAACATTTAAAACAGCGATATTTTATTAAAACCCAACTGTTATAAATTAACTGGTAACAACGGGACAAATTTTATATACTCGATGATATTACAAATAACATTAAAAAAACGTATAAAACCGGGTAGCGTATAGGTTTCATATTTACTCCATTCTCGGAATTTATAATGAAATCGATACAATAACATTACTTTATTATTTCAATGTATCAAATGTTGTGTTTATTTTCAACATAATTAGTATTAATCAGATAATGTAAATAGTAAACTATTTACAAATTTGTTTTATATTTAGTTTATTTAATGTTTGTAGTCATGTGGAGATATTTATTATTAAATAAAACATTATAATATCTTGCGCAATAATAAAATACCGGGAATTTCATATAACTCGCAATATATGAATGCAGTAACCATAGTTACGGAACTACTAAGCATTTGCACTGTCTCACATAAAATGTAACATAGCTGAAGAGACGCACGACTAAACCCGAATGATTCTGGTTCTAGGTCTAGTGTTAGTTCTACTTTTCGATCAATAAAAATATACCACAATTTAACGCTGAATAACAATTAGAACTTGAACTAGAAACTTTCGAGTTCAGCCACACGTCTCTCAAGACGGCTAAACCCCCTTTTAAAATATAATATTTAAATTTATATAGAACATGTTTCGACTTTCATCATCATCAGCCAAATAGTCAAAGCTGTAAAAGGTTAAAACTCATCAAAGAATAAATACGCTCAACACATAATCATATTCGACAATAGCTGAAAAGCGTAGCGAAACCAAATTTAAAAAATAAACTATTTCTAAACAGAATAAAATTATAAAAATGAACGACAAAATAAGAAAGAAAAAATGTCAATCAAACAATACGAGGAGAAATACAATTAATTTATATTTTTTATTATTATATTTTTATTATTTATATTTTTTATATTTTAATACTATAACAGTCGCATATGGATTTCTTACAATCCTAATGATTCTAGTTCTAAATCTTGTGTTAGTTCTAGTGATAGTGCTAGTGCAATACTAGAACTAACACTAGACCAAGAACTAGAAACATTCGGATTTAGCCGCACGTCTATCAAGACTGCTAAACCCGAATGATTCTAGTTCTAGGTCTTGTGTTAGTTCTAGTATTGCACTAGCACTGTTACTATGTAGAACTAACACTATACCTATAACTAGAATCATTTGGGTTTAGCCGCACGTTTTTAAAGACAGCTAAACTCGAATGATTCTAGTTCTAGGTATAGTGTTAGTTCTAGTTTTACACTTGCACTGTCGCTAGAACTAACATTAGACCTAGAACTAGAAACATTTGGGTTTAGCCGTATGTGTCTTAAGACGACTAAACCCGAATGATTCTAGTTCTTGGTCCAGTACTGCATAACAATTAAAACTACTATATTCGGGTTTAGCCGTGCGTCTAACGCACGGCTAAACACGAAACTTTCTAGTTATAGGTCTAGTGTTAGTTTTAGTTTAATAAAGATATGCAACATAGTGATATTTTATGTTAACTAGTGCTACCTACCACCTATCAGCCGTCTTAAGAGAGGTAGCCGTACCTCTGTCTCTGTTCTAGTGTTAGTCTAGTTTTATTTGTAATTCAGCGCTAGATTGTTACATATTTTTATTGAGCTAGCACGGATACTGCGTTCCCCGTATTGATCCGTTATATCGAGGTATTATTGTAATGTCAAATTATATTGACATATTGCATTTTATGTGTGCAGTGTTGTTAAATACCCGGGTATTCGTTTTCAAGAGTAAATTTCCTGGATATATACCCGGAGGTATTTACCTAAGATGGGTATTTAGAGGTATTTATAAAATTTAATTTAAATTGAGTTGATGGCAGTTTTGCAAGCACTTCAAGAATGCAGAGTCGATTATCGATATACAAAACTTATTTATAACATCTACAAAAATGCTACAATGACGGTAAAATTGCATGAAAGTACTGAAGAGAGTAGAAGTAGTAAAGTACTGATTGTGAGTAAAATGAGGCGATACACTGTTGAACTCAAATTGTTCATCATAGTCCTGGAGAGTGCATTTAAATAACTGGATTGCTGGGCTGCTTGATGATAATCATCATAATAACTTGATCTAATCTAAATTACGTATTATTCGTCTGATAATAATACGTCTTTGATTGTTGACAATAGCGTCACTCGTCTTCAACGTCAATTTCATACCGGGGTAAATACCCGGATACTAAATACCCAACCCAGCGCCCATCACTGTATTTGGGACAAAATAAATAGGTACGCCCTGGTTTCTATGGAAATATATTTTTGTATATTGCATCTTAAGTGAAATTCACTGTATACAATACACGATTGTATAACATAATATACAATGTATATATGATACGTGGATATTTTCTTTGATAATATAAACAAACTCACAATACAGATAAATTTTTTATACAATTTCAAATAGATTAAATTTTAGTTTTCATTGTAGTTTAGATCCTTATGGTTTAGCTGGACAATGGTTAACGGATGCTTTAAATGCAAGCGTATATACTTATGAAGTTGCACCGGTTTTCACGTTGATGGAAAGTTGTATAATCAAAGAGATGTGCAGGATGATCGGTGCAGGTTGGTCCGACGGCATATTTTGCCCAGGAGGATCTACAGGCAACGGTATAGCCCTCAATTTGGCTCGATACAACTTTTGCTCAAATATCAAGGTAAGGCGCATGTTATACGTCGAACCGATACATATTGAATAAATTGCCTTCTACTTTACGACGAACGATGCCAAAACCACTCTATATGTTAAACGGTTCTTAAATTTATTATTTTTACTACTAGGTACCCCGCGATTTCTATTCACAATGCGCAGATCGTTTTCGCCACGATTTAAATTCTAAAAAGAAAACGGGTCGTTGTTAAACTTACATATAAGGGGAGGTTTGGAAATAAACATGTTAGTTTATTAATTGTAACATTGAAGTACTTCGTTTGGATAATATTTGTTGCTTAGCGGTGCCTGTCGGTCGAGTTACGTGATGTTTACGCAATCCATTAAAATAAGCAAACATCGTGATGTTTGTTAATTCAATCGAGCGTATAAATTTGCTCATTCGTAGAGTGGTTAGATTAATATCTATATTACGTTAAAGTAAATTAAATGTAAAAACGAGTACATACACAAAGACACTCGGTTATAATTTACTTCCTCTTTGCAATCTTCTGTAATTCTTTGAAGTTTTCCACACAAACAAAAGGTTTTTAGTTAGCTTAAAGGAAGTTTGTATAAAGAAGGTATATTAATGAAAAGAGAACATTAGTAAAGAAAACTAAAATCGAAAAACTTTTTTTCAATTTTTTAAATCGTAGTTTAGCTACATTTAAAAAGTTAACTTTGCCGAATTGGTTAAAACTGAGCTTTTGAAAATGGTAGTTCGGTATAACGTTTAAAACGGACCGGGTACAAACTTTAACGAACTTACACGGCCACAACGGCACGACTGCAATTATGCAAAACGTGGGAAAAATGCACGTTGCCACCCCCCATCGCCACCATGAAAAGGGGTGTGAAACGACAGGGACGTAATCGGGGGTTTACACCTGGCGAAAAGTTAAATGGGAAAATTAAATTTTTGCTTCAAAACCAGAATAAATTTAAACGAAAAGTGCCGGGAGGTAATTTAGGGTTGTTAATATTTTCTATCATCCCACAACATCGAAAATGTACCAATGACTGTGATTCAAAGAAAAATAAACGAAACGCCGGAGAGTTTAATTTGACCTAAATATTCACCAAAACGTTACTCAATTCACAAACCCTGTTATCTCCGTGAAAGTTATCAGAAACATAATCCATCACGCATAAATTCTCACGCGTGTGTGTGTATGTGTACTAAATGGGGTATACACCCACACTATGTACATGCGGACGCGTACTGACTACCCCGTCCAGTTTGATTTATGAAACTTCGGAACGAATTTGTATGTTAAGGATTTTTTCACGGGATTTGAGCACGCATTGACAGCCGCCCATTTTACTTTTAATTCTTACTTTTCAAAAACAAAATATCAAAAATCATTTTTCTTATATTCATTTGTTTCCATTTAAAATTAGCAACGTTAATTTTATCGCGTGTAATTAAAGAACTGAACATTCTGGCTGTTGTCCACGGTTTAAATTAGTTACGTTGGGGAGACCGAAATAAATTTCAAGCAAATTTCAAGTGGAATCCTTTTAATTGCTTTTCCATTATAGTTAAGTTTTTACCATGAAATTGAAGCATTATGTAGCATATGTACCAATTTAAGATCTTCCGTATGTAAAAAAAAGAAAAAAGATTTAATTTTTTTGGTTCTGATCACGATTAGTTACCAGAGAAGCTTTTGCAACGGTTAAATACGAGCCTAGGATCCGGATTTAAACGTTGTTTAATGTTTGCATAATAGAATTAGTTCCGAACTCCCGATCGTTTGGATAGGGGTTTCAATTATCAATCGCTTATGGCCCAGCTACCCCGGTCGCCATCTGTTACAAACTTCGTTTTACCCTGATTCGGAAAGTTTCAAAAGGAAAATTGTACACAATGGCATGTTACCATTTTGAAACAAATCGAAACAAATTCTAAATAAATTTATACCAAACAAAGCGTTATTACATCCAAATAGATTTTCAAACGAACATTTATCTTGGATCAGCAATAAAAGTGATCAGCAAAAATAAATGTGCTGGAATAAACGATAGTAGTGAATCGAGATCGTGGTTGTCTCCGATACATCACTCCGGAAAAAAGATGCCCTTATCGTTATAATTCACTGTTACAGAGGATGGGTTCATTTGGGGTTTCACGTCTGGTGATATTCGCTTCGGAGGAATGCCATTACTCAATCCCAAAATTCACTTCCTTTATCGGAATTGGCGAAGATAATCTAATAGAGGTTCCAACGGATGAACTAGGACAAATGATACCCAAAGAACTTGAAACACTTATACAAAAACAACTACAAGAAAATAACACACCCATCGCCGTTGTTGCTACAATGGGTAAGTAAGAAAACGCTGTCTTATAATAATAATTTTAGAAAACAAATTGTATAATAAGAGGTAAGAAGAAAAGGTAAGTTTTATAACTCTATTGAGCGAGCGGAGAGAATTTCTAAAACTTTTGAAGCACTGAAGTGAAGTTATTATGACCGGGGAGTTTTCAGATTTTGATAACTGCGAGAAAGGTGGTGCCGTTTAAAGTTTAATGGGACGCGATTGCGTCACGAAAGCGCGGTTTAATATTCAAACGTCCGAAATGAAAACGAATTCGGTGAGAAGAGAGAGAGACTCTTCCGGGAGAGAATATCCTCTCTCCCGTAGTTTAGATGAGAAAGGTTGTGGAAAAGCTATGGAACACGAGACCCTAGCCTCGGCGAACGTTATGGAATTCTATATATGCCCGGTACCCCTTGGGAAGGGGAAAGAGGCACCATCATCCTTTAGGGTTTTCGTTCGGTTCGAAAACCTCGCCTCGAAATTTCCGGACGAGAGGATCGACGTAATTAACTCGTTACTTTTTCATCAATCCTTATGATTTCAGTTTCATCTCAACTCACTTTTGAACGAAACACAAACATATTCTTGGAAAAGAAGTGTAGGCAAATAAGTTTAATATTAACAAGAAAATGTGCGAATAAAGGTTTTCGTTATGGAAGTTTTTCTTGTTGCTTTGTGTTCAAGTTGACGTTTTTCAAGTAATATAATATTCAAGATAGAGGTTTATGGTGACATAAAGAACGTTCCTTTGGGAATCTTATACAACGTAATAAAAGTCTTCAGGATATACTGGAAAAAAATATATAAAAATTTTTTTACAAAGAAATCATTCAAATATATATGGTATGACACATAAAAAATGACTTTAATAAGAATTTTAATTACAGCAGCGCTAGACCAAGAACTAGAATCATTCGGGTTTAACCGTCTTAAGAGACGTGCGGCTAAATCCAAATGTTTCTAGTTCTAGATATAGTGTTAGTTCTAGATAGAAGCAGAGCTAGTGTAAAACTAGAACTAATACTAGACCTAGAACTAGAATGTTTCGTGCGTCTGAAGACAGAGTGAGCAATACAAAAAACTGACACAGTCCTTAAATGACAGCAAAACGAGTTGGTTCTCTTTCGAGGATAAACAAACAAGACCAATCAAACAGGACCATATCCAACGTGCAAATAAGAAAATATAGTTGCAGATCTAAGAAATGTTGTTTATAAAACACCTGTTTCATGTTGACTCTCAGCTATGAAGAAGGTATAAAAAAACGTACGAAATTAAACATCTTGGAAATGAAATTTGATATCATCAAAGCGATAAAAGAATCTACAGAGATCCCCTGTACAAGAATATTAAGCCTTTGGGCACACACAACGTAAGAGGCTGGATTACTGTGCTATTAAGTAGTGCGTGGGCTATTATTCAAAGTAGCTATTGGCAGACGTTGCATCGGCTTTTAGACATCACTCTAACGAAACATATTTCTGTTCACTTCGACGTTGAAGGATGCAAAGCTTCCTTAAATACGAGGGATCGATGCCTTACTTTCTAATATCTAGATCTCTTTTTTTTTTCTTCTTGGCCTAATCTGTTAGAATAGTCTATTTTTTGTTCTATTTATTAAAAAAGATGTGTCCTATAGTCTATTGAGATGATATTGAAACAGTAAATTTGAAGCATAATATCCAACGAAAACCAAGATTACCCAATTTATGATTTCGCCGATACAAGTACATCCAGTGTTTAAATTTCCAATTCGTAAAAATCATTAATTACTGCAACATACATTGACGTTGTACGTGATAATTCCGATTTGAACTCGGCTGCAACGAAAAATTTCCCTCGAGCACAATGTTTACAGAAATATTTCGAGTACAAATTCGCTAATAACAGTGAAAATGGTGCAAACGGATGCGGATAAATACGGCATCTGTAAAATTTACAAAAGTGAAGCAAAACAATGGAATGAACGAAACAATTGAATATTAATGGATTAAAAAAATGGATTAAAATTGAATACTAGTGGATACTAATTCAGTTATTTGCGCACATTTATTCATTCATTCATTTGTGTAAAAGATTATAAACTTCACAACAACAAGCACATTTTGATATCCTCTCAGAGGTAAATATTATTGATTTTGTATTTATTTAAAACTTTTTTAAAACTTTTCCTATTACTCTTGCGTTCCTAATCTATTGATCTAAAATATTTATACGATTCTGGTCAACCGAAAGTAGCCTACATCTTTATTCGAAAACAAAACATGAAACCAGCAAAGCTTCAAACCTTTTATGATTTTCATGCAAAAAATATGGATGCAAATAATATGAGGATTTAGAGTTGAATGATATAAAGCACAATAATCTGGCAGGTTTTAGAGATACAGTCTGCAAAATATTGTTCTGTTTTCTACTTTTAGCATTGAAAATCCGAAGTTGATACTATTCCCACGATTTATATTTGTGTTTTTTTTAAATTTTAGGCACAACTGTCCGTGGTGCTTTCGATCCAATTAATCAAATAGCAAGTATTTGTGCAAGGTACAAAATTTGGTTGCACGTCGATGCTGCCTGGGGTGGTGGATTGATTTTCTCGCAAAGATACCGTTCGAAATTGAACGGAATCGAACGTGCAAATTCCGTGGTCATCAACCCGCACAAATTACTTGCAGTCCCTCAGCAGTGTTCCGTGCTTTTGGTTAGGGATCCGAATATTTTGCACGAATGCCATTCGAAGGAAGCCGAATATCTATTCCAAAAGGACAAATACTACGATAACACTTTCGACCACGGCGATAAATATTTACAATGTGGTAGAAAATGTGATGTTTTTAAATTTTGGTTTATGTGGAAAGCTAAGGTAACAATTTTTTTATAAAAAAAATTGCTTTTAGTATTATTTTTATGTAGGGTACATCTGGTTTTGCAAATCACGTAAATGATTTAATGGAAATAGCGGAATACTTTGAAGAACAAATTCACGAAAGACGAGAATTTATGATGGCATCTAAACGGCAATATATGAACGTTTGTTTTTGGTATTTACCTAGATATCTGCAAGGAAAACCGGACATATTAGAATACCGCGATCAACTTCATAAGGTAACTTTCACAGCGAGCTTTCGTTTCATTTATAATACGACTATTTCTCAAAAGGTGGCGCCGCAAATAAAAGCTGTAATGGTGAAACACGGATCGGTGATGCTAAATTACCAACCGTTAAAAAATTATCCAAATTTCTTTAGATTCGTCTCTCAAAATTCAGCATTAAACAAAAAAGACGTTGATTTTATTTTGGATTATATATCTCATATTGGAAAAGCTATATATGGATAAATTTTTATTTAAATAATAAAAAAAGAATTTTTGGAATTTAGTATAGGAATTGTAATGGAAATTCTTAGAATTGACACTGATCGTAAATTATAATAAGTAATGTGTACTGTATAAACTACAAACACTGATTGTGACAATGAATGGAGAGTAAAATGATGATAATTACACACTGATGCGTTTAATGATCAAAATAAACGTGTTTTCAAAGAAAATGAGGAGGCGAATGTACCCGTAAAATCTTGGTGTGTACGTCTACCTTCTGCGGCCATAATTTATAAATTTAATTCATCACACGAGACATAAAATACCACTTAACATGTCGCAAAAAATCAAAACATCAAAAAAACAAAAACAAAAAAGTTTAATGTTAATACAATTACAGATAAATAAAATAAATGGAAATCTTACCTTTTGTCAGTTTAAAGAGTTCGATATTAATTTACTGTATTCTCCAACAATGGCTATTGTTTCATGAAAGACCAAGTTTAATAGCAAAAGAGACGAAAAGGACATTTCACGTCGATATAAATTACGTATTACGATATTTTTGGTGTGATTCGAAGTTCGAAGCTTAAGAGGTTTCGTCTGGATTTCCGGTTTTACGGTTTAAGTTAAGGAAATAAGAAGTGCATAGAAACTAATTAGAAAGATCCCTATGGAACCGTTGCCGTTTCCCGATATCCTATCAAAAACACTACGTACACATTTAAAGATTTTTACGACGGTGAATTTATAGACTATAAACGAATTTTATTGGTCGAGTTTTATTATTTCTAAGTTCTTGTATTTTCATGTCAGCAATTGAAAGCGCCATTTTTCTTATTATGTAATAAAATAGCTTCTTGTTTTTCCGTCTTTTCATCTTTTTTTTTTTAATTTTACGTTATAAATGATAATTTAAAAAAATTGCTTTTTTATTGCATATGAAAACAAATTTTCGCTAAAAAAAAAAATATATAACCGTGAACTCTATAACCCCTCAGGTAATAACATTAATTACAACCAATATTTTTTCGTGTACAAATCATAAACAGGGAAATTACTTTTTTTATTATACGTCCAGATCCATAATTATAAAAGGTTATAATACCACTATTTAAATTGGTCAATATTTACAATAATATCCTTACATTTACGACCCATTTTGGAACTAGGTGTAAAAATATAATTGTCTCATATAACCGTGAGTCGGACAACACAGTAATATCTATAAACTATTTTATATTCAACTGACATTTATTCAAACAAACATTACAAAAAATAGTAAAATAATAATTATTGCAGTGGTTTCGTTCTGTTTAATAACCAATACTAGCATAAACACATTAATATCTTGCATAATTATAAAGTGAGTCTAAAGGAATGTTAAATAGTTGTTTCCAAATTGTGTAGGCAACATATACAAGAGTAATCCGGTTTAGCTGCAAAAGAAACGAAATATCTCTATTCGTATGCACCGAGGAGCACAAATACAGCGAAAGTCAATTTACGATTTATTTTCTCAACACTATATTTATCGAAATCACCTAGCAACAAATCATTTTCACTGATTTTAACTTCAAAATTAATGATATCACTAAATATATGAACAAATTAAACAAATATTATACTGTAAACAATATCTAATATACATAATAGATAAACAAAAAATAAAACATTTAAGAACAATCACATCTTTCAAGATAGGTAACTACCAAATGATGTTTACAAATTAAAGAAATTTTTTTTTGTTAAGTGAAATAAATAGCAGCCACCTTAATTTTAATTTACAAAACTTTTATTTTTTGAATATCAACTTTTCAATGTAAGCTAATAATGTGAAATCGATGGTACAGTCATCCATGAGACGTAATTTGCATGGTAAGTATGCTTTCTTGGGAGAAAATTGGTCGGAAGATTATCCTGTTAATTCTTTTAATTTTGGGGTTGGCCTTATAATGATAGTCTTGCAACAATGAAACCTTTGGGTGTTGGCCTTGTTGATCAAAATCCTTCTTTTCTTTCAAGTATGTAAGTGGTTAATTTTCTTGTATATGAATAACAGTTACATGTTATATGTAATATTCTTCTGCTACGATCACTGATTGTTGTTTTCCGGTCTTTTGCTATTTACTAAATTCTGCTCTCAATGTTTATTCATGAAAAGTAGTCATACCGATATGGTATAGTGGTCTGTTGGGAAGGAAAACTGCCATGCAGCACTTGGTGTGTCAGGTTTGTAACTCCAGGGAGAGAAGCACTATTCCTCGCAAGTCAATTGGGATCTAAACAAAAAAAAATTATTTCTCGCCGGCATGTGCAGATGGCAAATCTTTCATATTATGTTAACTATACCGAATACCATAGTCGCCTAAATAATTTAGAGGATCTAGAAGTCCTTCAAAAGAGTAAGGGAAAGTTATTGAAATTTAGGATACTGTTTCTGCTCATGTCCAATATCTCACATGCAGATCTATTCTGGTGCATTCATGTAGTTGTCTAAAACGTGATGTGTTTCTGGCCATAGATACCCAAAAGAGAAAACCTGTACCGCTAAATGTCCGCTAATGGTATCAAGTGATAGTGACTTATACTCCTACTATTATAATCCAGAATAATCTCTAACTTATTGGTTTTGGCAAGTTCATAATAATAAGTTAAAATATTTTTGCACCCAAATATGGAAGGTGCTACTTATCTCTTTTACCTGGCAAAGAGTGTATTAGAAATTCCCATTTGATTTTGTTTTGTTGGCAATGTTCATACCAATATTGAAATTTACTGTAGTAGAAATAATTTGTAGATATTGTAATTAATAAATGTAATTGTAGACATTATTACTCAGTATTTTAGCTTGTAATACTCCTATTAGTACACAAAAGTGGTTCAGAAAATAGCTCTACAAAATAATTTGCTAACTTCTATTAATGTTTTAATTTCATATTTATTCCGCTTATTACAGATGTATATTCCAAAGGGGACACGAAAACAGGTTGCTTATCGACACGCAAATATGCACAAGGTATTTGCAGGCAATTATTTATGAACTTAGCATCGTTATCTCAGTCCTGAACATGAATTATCGAATAAAAGTACAACTAATGACTGGTTATCCTTTAAAACCGCAACTGAAATTAAGTCCATGTAAAGCTTTCAAACCGCTCATTGTCGTTGAAGATGTGGATGCCTTTTGTTATATTTTTCTTTAAACAAGTATTTCCCATTTGTATGATTTTGCACTTGAGATAAAATTTTGTCATTAAAAAATAAAGAAAATAAATCGATAGGTTCAATAGCAGCTTTACATTTCTTGTGGCAATTTTTAAATAACTTATAATTATCTTTGTCAAATAAAAACTCAGGAAGTGTTTTCTGCGTCTCCTGAGCTAACTGATTTTGTACTATTTGTTGGAACAAAGTTTTCCTCTTCTGGTTACGAGTCCATACCTTTTCGTTCTTCATTGTAGAGTACTTGTCCTATTAGTTCCTAATTATATGTAAAAATTATGTATGGATAAAAAACTATATATAAATGTTGAAGGTCTAGGGTTAAGAATTAAGTGATGAAAATAAATGAGACATATCCGGCGACGAATTAAAGTTAGAACTGAAATCCCTTGCATCCCGGCGCCACGAACAAATCCTGAGAAATATTTGAATTTTATTTAGAAACATAATTCGAATCAAGTTTATTCAAAGGCTGTGTTCGTGTAATTAATTAAAACATGAAAGCCATCTTCGTTCGTTACATTGATTTGTGTTACGTCATTGGACTAATTAGTTATGAAATTTCCTTTGAGTTTTACTCTATCGTTTTAAAAATATCGGTGAGGTTTTTTTAACATTACTTAACTTTTTGTGGTTGAATTTTGTTTGGGGTTAATATTACAAATTGATTGGGGTAAAACAGGAATTATTAAATAAAAATAATACAATTTATTTTTATTTATTATTACATTATTAAAACACAAAAATTTTGCTGAACTATACATTTATTAGATAAGTGTCTATATGTCTATCGAAGTACATCACTACACGTTTTTTTTGTAAGTTCTTCTACCATATATAAGTACCACAATATTCTACAACACATAGATAAAGATTCGCATGGTGACTCCATTAAAAAAATACGTTGCGTTATTTACATTTAAACATCATCACGATTTTGTATCGTATTTAAAATAAAAAAGAATTAAAGCGGTTTGGAGCTACCATAACTATTTTTAAAAACCGTACGAAAAATGAAATAAAATAAGGAAAAAATCTAATACCTATTGATCATTAAAATCAATTTTCATCACTAAAAAGATTCACCACTAAATATAATTCGGATCGAGTTTGAGAATTACCTCATACAAAATATATATCACGATGTCGTTCACAATAAATAATTATCACAAGGTTACTAAGTGTACTTCTTTGTGATATACTTAGCACCACATCTTTTCTCAATTATACTTAAAAATCTAATAATGATTAAAAATCAATAATGATATATAAAATAGACACATATTCTTTTTTTTTAATATTTCGTTAAGATACAGTTCACCTTTTTTTCGACTCCTATTCAATAGGAAAAAAATCATTTGGCATGCTCAACATTTATGTTTTTCTCTTCATATTTTGAATAGTTTTTTTCTTTATGTTTCGAAAGTATAGAAAAAATAATGATAATTTTTTTAAAATACCTAAAATCTACGGTTCATAATATCTTCTCTCGTAACATTATTATCCTTTGGACGAAAAATCTTAAACACTATCTTTTTAAAAAGTATTTACAACAACTTTTAGCATACTTTTTGTCGATTCTTTCGATGTTAAATACAATTTATTATAATAATTTTTGTTTCCCTTTAATTATTTTTTGGACGAATCTTATTCTTTATAAATTCTTCATCATCACATAAAACGCGTAAAAATATACTAAATACATCGATTTAAATAATTAAGAAGCCTCGTTTAAAGAAATCGTTAACAATTAAAGAATATCATTATATCGAGAGTGTACGAAAGAGAGAGAAAGTCCTGGTTTAATGTGCTTTTTACGATTACTAGGAACATTGATATAATATGACAAGCAAAACTGGCACTAATATATCCTACGACACAACTATTTATGATTATTTTTGTATATATATTTTTTATGTACTACTTAGAGGTGAACTATTCTTATTATAAAGTGTAGCGTGAATTTTATGATGGAGGTTTTTATTTAATTCTTTTTTTGGTTGAATGGTACACATAAGATATGCATAATATTATTACTTTCTTCTTATAAAGTCCTTTGTATATCTATGATTCTTCTTTCTTCTATAGATTTGTTTAAATAAGTGAAGAGCATATTGATTATTTTCTTTCTAAATTGGTTAAAATTATAATGAACTATGGATGTTGTTACATATAAATTTATAATTTTTCACTAAAGGTCTCTATTGAAGTTATAGGAAACCTGAAATCAAAAAAAAAAAGAAATTATTAGTCATTTTACAAACAGTCATTTAGTCACGTTTAACTCATAAAGTAAAATAGGAAATGGTTCTAATTTTAAAGATTCTTAGAAAATCACCAGTAGGAAATGAATGATTGGTTTATTATTGAAAATTGGAAACTTTAAAATAAAAAGTTGCTATATCTAAGTTTAACTTTAAATGTTTATATCAATTAAGCAATACTTTGTAGTGCTTAGAAAACTAAAAGAGTCATAACAATTTAGTGTAAGAGCAGAAACTTCAATGTTGAAGCAACCTCGTTCCAAGACTTGTACATAATTGATCTACTTACATGCTTCATTGAATTACTTTACTTATTCCAGATCAGACAACACGTTTTAGCGTTATCTACATTTCATTAAACAATTTTCATAGGATATTAAGGAGCTTATTTCTTTCTATAAATACCTAGCATTTTCTGTTACATTCTTACATACCTAATTAGTTTTTTACTTTTGACAACATTTTCTATATACTACTTATATATTTACTACATATCCAAAATATTAATTGATCCCGGTACTTCACAAATATTAAAACATGTTTGCTGAAGAGTTAACGCATTGTGTAACCTTAAAGCTAATAGTTCCTCATTTCCAGAATGATGATGGTTCATGCAAGTATTAGTATGTGCAATTTAGTGAAGTGTAGTTGGAAAGATGTCAATTTGTTCTTTAACATGTGTTCAATTCCTAACTAAATGATAAAAAGTTCACTACTAAAGAAGTATGAGAAGGATGTCTCCGGACTAATTGGCCAAATGTACTATGCCAGAAAAACCAGGCACCAAACGAGCCCCTGGAAGACTATCTAAACGATGGTATGAAAGTTATACTACAAGGTCGCAGGAGGAAAAAAGAAGAAAGAATTGGAATTGCCTATAACGAAAGATTTCGAAATATGAGCTGTACTAACAAATTATTAAAGATAAGTTTGTTAAAACAAAGAAGTTTGTAAGAACACGAAATACTATTGACAGCAGATTATATACTGCTAGGAGCAGCCTGAAGACCCAATACTGGTGGCAGAAGTCAAAATATTGATAATGGAACCAGTAATTTTTATAGAAGATCACATATTGATGCCAGAAGGCGAAATACTGTTGGTAAAAGACTACACACTGCCAGTGGAAGACTAAATACTGCTACCAGAAGAGTAGTTGCTGCTCACAACTAAAAGTTCAAACGATTGATAATACTAAATTTACTTGTAGGGATTTAAGGCACATTAATGACTACGAAAGAGATGTTGTGCAAATTACTTTGTTGGATATACAGGTTGATTTATTAGCTCACCATCAAACTTTGACATATGATAGCCAATCCAATTACAAAAAAAAATGTTAATGAACATATGTCCTTTTTCAATTATTTACGAAAGTGTGGATGCGGAAGGACACCGAATAGACTTCGACCAAACAAAGGTGCTGGTTAGGGACAACAGATATCACCAGCGACTGACAAAAGAAGCCATAGAGATCCACCAACATAGAAATAACGTCAACAGAGAGGATGGCTGGGAGCTTAGCAGAACATGGAAGATGGTGGTGAACACGAAGACCTCCTCCCGCCTCACACCGGACGCGACGCAATTAGTTAATATTTAGCTTTAATTGATTATTAATTAGTTTTCCGGCTTATATATTGTTCCCGATTTTCGATTTCGTCGACAACTTTGTTTTTGTTGAATATTTGATTTTACTGACTATTAATAAATTCGCTGCAGAAAACTTTAAAGTGTTATAATTTCGTAAATAATTGAAATAGGACATATGTTCATTAACATTTTTTTTGGTAATTAGATTAGCTATCATATGGCAAAGTTTGATGGTGAGCTAATAAATCACCCTGTATAAGGAAACGTCAGGTTCAACTTCAGGTTTTTTCTAAAGCTCAGAGATCATGGTGATTTGTATAAAGATGATTTGTATAGCAGGAAGGACTAACTTATAAAGGCAGCTTAATTTTAATTCCCTTTGAGTCAAGTGTTTTTACAATGTTGATTTCTTGTGTTATATGTTATAAACAAAAAGTACTTTCAAAGATTTTTCATAGCATTAACAAAAACTATCGTACTTCTGATATGTTGAATTACATCGTTATCCATCATTATCTAAAACCTAAAACCGAATGAGAAATAAATTGGAACAAAAAACGGATTAGAACTTGCTCCACACTCAAAATATAGTTAATAGCCTTTTGTAATAATAACTTCCAGAAACGATGTTGAAACCAATTTTGGATTAAGTCATAAAATGTACCCTCTTCATAATAATTTGCAGTTTCTTTGTTAGAGATTGTAAAGTTGTTTTACAAAAAACATCTTTTTCGCAACGACTTAGCCTATTTTACGACTGTAAATTATGACGAGAAATCTTCTGCCACAAAACAACAAAATGAAGTCAACCTAACCTACCATTTTCCAAATCGTAAAATCCGACTGTAAAAAAATCATCGTGTTTTTTTTTTTCATTTTCTTTCGCGATCCGGAACTCCTTTGTGTTTTAGTCGTTCTTCGTAATCTTTAACCCGATCTAAACGTTAAACCACAATACTCTTTACATAACTACCACGCACGTTTCAACTAAATTAGTGAAATAACTTTTATATATATGGTACATACATGTGTTTAACAAAAAACAGGAAGAAAAAGAAAAACTTTTTCTCTGTACATTTACACGCGTCGTGTATACAATAGCCGAGTAACGTTGGGGTATTATTTATCCCGCTCTCTCAGTTTATTAGCCATAAACATTTTAGCTGTGCGTAATTATACAAATTAACTATGAGCCTGGCACCAGTGGCGTCCACAAACGTGAAGAGGGGAAAGAAGAAGGGCGCGACGTTTCCGTAATTACCTGAACAATAAAAACTTTTTACAATCTTTTATTAATTAGAGGTTGGGTTGTTGTTGTTATTGTTGTGTCGTTCGTCATCAAAAAGACAGACGAAGGCGGAGCGCAACTTGCTTTCGTATAAAACACCATAGGTTACGACAAACGTTTTGCGCCGCCTACCGTTGGCGGTTGAATCCATTCAGCACGCTCCTTTTATGTGCTTTGAACACGTAACGAGTGTGTTTTTATTGTCTACGCATACGTTCGCGCATACAAAAACGACGTTAGTTTACTTATTGATCGTTTGGAATCAATATTAATACCGTTAAAATAGAATGTAATAAAAATTGTAAGAATCTTTGAAGTTGTTCTTTTCGATTCCATTTTCAAACAACTTAAAAGTTGTTAGATTTATGCAATAAAGCTTTTTAGAACAAAAAGAACCCATTAATGCATGGGATGTACAAAACATTAAAGCTTAACATCTTAATATCCATATCAAGTATTGTACGTTTTCAGCTTTTTCAGCAAGAACGTTTTGAACACTTAAGGTTATCACAAATTTACACATATGCTTCAGTTTAATATTTACCGTCGTTTATGAGTATGGTTTGAGATAGCACAATTGCAATTCAGACCATAAAGCAAACAGCGATGAATTCAACTTCTTGATCAGTTACACACATAAGCTGCCTATGTCAAACCGAGATCAAGAAATATTATAATATATCGATGCAATACGTATTTTTACGTATTGCATCGATAAATCTTTTTGAGCAAATTATCTTTATGGTTTAAAAGAGTGGAAGAAAACTTAAGTTGTGTAAAAGAGACGTAAAGTAAGTCCAAAATTGTACAAAAAGAGTGGTTAAAGTAAGATATTAACCAGTTGCTGGTTAAAATGATCCCATTTCCAAAACGTGAAAATATTTCCAATGGAATTTAATGTAAATATTGGGATGTTTCGGTCTTCTTTGAGCAAACCTTTCAAATTGTTGAAGTTAACTCAAAATACGTAGAATTCCTTAAATTTCTTAGCAAAGTTATTATTATTTAACAAATAATTTTGAAAGAGATGTTTCCGTTCTTTTCCAAATTCCCAGCATTGTATTTACATTCACTTTGAAACCATTCTAATTTCATACCGAAAAACCAGTCCGATCCCCCTTTTAAAATTGGGACCGATTTTTAACGTCCCAATAAACCTCATCGCCGCCGCCGTAAGTAGGCCGTAAATTCCGCAATTAATATTCCGCAAAGTCGTAAAAGAATCCTGCCTTTCAAGAGAGAAGACCCCCAAACCGCTTGTATATCACCGTCTCGAGTCTCTCCACCAGGACCTATAAAGTTCGGGACCGCCGTCGATTCCCTTTTACAAAATTATTATAATAAGTAGTTATATGCAGGTATAATTTACGACGATTTTTGAATGACGACGTCGCTGGCGTCGCCTTCTTCTTCATCTTTGCCGGGAATCTTCTTCTGAAGCCTGTGCACTTTGGTGGCGCGTGAAACGACGACGAGTTCGGTCGTAAAACCCTTCTGCGAATATTGCATTCCGAGTTGCTTTGGAGGACACAACAATGGAAAAGATCACGAAAGGGTCGTCTCTTTGACGATGAGATGACGATTTGTGTTGAGCTTGCGCTTCCATGATATAGAGAGAGAGAAATGGAGTTTGAATGGATACTGGACAAGATGTGGTGAAGAGAAAAGTCGTATCTTCGACCGAGAATTTATTGTCATGAACATTCCGGCTGCTTTTACGAATTGCCTATTAACGCCCAAGATTAAAAGCTTCAACAGTTTTAGGAATACTAAATTACGTTATGGCCAAATATAATTATTTTCATTTGAAAATTTAGTGGTTAGATATTACATATTTTGATTAAATTGTTGTGGGGAAAAGTAACGCAAGAAATTTGAAATAACATATTTGCTCATCAAGTTCTTCTAAATAAATAATGTTAAGGATAGTTTTTCAATACACTTTTAGTATCAAATTTAAAAAACTGAAAACTAAATTTTTGTTAGAAATATTTCTGAAAACTATAATTTAAACTGAAAGATGTTTGTGATTTTTTCACTATAAATAATCGAAAATTTGCCGTTGAAAGTCTCGAA